CACTTAAATATTTAATTTGGGTTTATGATTCTTGTTGATTTATACAGTATGGCCTTTTGGCTCCTAAAAGGCAATAAAGAAAAAGATAAAAGTGGTACACTATTAGGCAATTCATACAAAAAATGAATGGGAAAGAGAAATATGAAAAGATTCTAAAGTGCTTTTTTTTTTTTTTTGGTGCTGGTGTTCAAACCTACTATTCACTGGTAGGTAGATAAACACTCTGCTACCAGGCTACATCCCAGCCCTGTGAGACCCATTTTTAAAATGGCAAAAACTTTTTCTTTTGCAAATATGGTATATGAAAAGCAAAGAATGCAAAAAAATTTCACAGAATTCCAGAGAGAATCACTAATACAAGCAAGCATACGTAAATTTTTATTTACTTGGGATAATACCAGAGTATTATTGCTGTTTAGAAACAGTAAACTGTCAGCATTTTTCCATGTTAATAAGTAATCCTTAGCGGATAAATAGTGTTCCATTGTTTCTCGTAGAGATTGAAGCTTAGTTTTTTCCTTTGGTTCTTTACTTTGTAACTTTTTTTTTTATCAGTAGTAAAGGATACAATGAGATCTTTCTCATATTTTCCTTTATTATTTGTTTTATTGAAATTACTTGTTTACAGTTACTCATTATTAGCTGATTTCTTTCACAGTTGTTATTTGACTAGGAAGAATTGAGCTGGGGCTTAATCATTGTGATCCTTATGATTGATTTTTTTTTTGTTGATGCAGTTATACTATGTCTTCTTTGAGAGGAATTGTCAGGCTTATTTGCTGAACATGTTAAGTGTTTTAATAAATGAATATGTCATTTAAAGATTTTTCTAAAGAATAATGTAGCTGGGCATGGTGGTTCATACTTACAATTTCAGCACTCAGGAGGCTGAGACCAGACTGAGCTACATAGTGAGATTCTGTCTCAAAAAGGCAACTCCCCCTCATACCCCCACAAAAAAACCTGGAAGCTGTATTGTAGCATACTGGAAATTGCACGAACTTTGGAGTAAAATTATCCTGGTTCAAGGTTCGGATTCCAATCCTGTGAGTGTTGTTTTTTGAGACAAGGTCTCACTGTATAGTCCAGGCAGGCCTCTAACTGAAGTTCTTCCTGTCTTAGCTTCCTGACTGCTAAGATTACAGGTTTGTGCTGCCATGCCTGGCTGCTCTATCGGTTTTAGTTATGTAAATAACTTGAGCAATTCACTTAAAATTCGAAGCCTCTGTTTTCTTATCAGGAAACTCAGGATTGTTACTGCTCTCTCATAGGAGATGCACATGTAAAACATCAAGTGCAGGTGTTAACAGGGTTAATTTTCTCTCTTACATAGTTAGGCAAGGGGCTCTCCAACATTTTTGTGTCATTTATCCCTGCTAGTTTAGCAAAGCCCATGGAAGGAGACTCTCTCAAAATAATGACTTTTATATACAAAAACAAAATGCCTGTCCTTATAGAGGAAACCAGTTATATTGAATACAGTTATCAAAAGACTTAAGCCAAATTTGTAGTGCTTCTCATTTCAAATACTTTTTTGGATGTAGATGGGGAATGAATGAATTGATGGATTAATGAAAGAGAAACACAAGAAGGAAAAAGAGAAGGAGAAAAAGCTCATAAATACATATGCCTGCTTTTGACTCCCTTCCAAGCTGTCATCTCAGATTTCCAATAGGCTCCTAGAAGTTTCCTCCTTAGTACCCTATCAGCAACTTACCCTACTGGGGAAATTGAATTCCTCTCCCAAACTGTCTGGACTTCCCTGTTTTTCTATATTGATATCACTACCTGCTTATCACTTAAAGCCTAAATCCTCAAGTGAGTTCGTTCTTTTTCAGTCTGTTCTTGCTTTAGTTCAGTCATGGACATCTGTAGTGGTGTGTGTGTTGCTGGGGATTGAATCCAGGGCATTGTGCATACTAGGCAAGCATTCTACCACTGAGCTATACCTCCAGCCCTTATTATAGATTTTATCTCTACAATATCTCATTTCTCCTTTTTAAATTTAAGACCCTCTTACCACATTGTTGTCATATTACAAGGGTGGATTTTTCTGCTGGTTTTCAATTTTTCTACTTCTGCCACAAAGTACTCCTTCTCAGTGCTGCTGCAACACTCACAGATGCATACCTGATTGTCAGTTGGCTCAATATATTAATAAATTTGTATGTGTTTTCATTTTCTCAACCATATTCTAAGTTCTTTGAGGAAACAGAACACATCTTGCACTTATTTTTATATTTCACCATAGTGCTTAGCATAACACTTAAAAAGTGCTCTATAAGATCTTGATAGCCATCATTATTAGGTAGTTCTAGCTCCAAAAGCAAAAAAAGGAAAGTTTGACCTAGTCTTGTCTAATGAATTATTACTATAGGAGGTGTTGATATGAGACCAACTCTTGATTGATTGATTGCAGTATTGGGGTTTGACTTCAGCATATAAGACCAAGACTTTATGTCAAAAGCCTACTGGGAATTTTGTATGTACTTAAATATTCATTAACTCACTACCATAACTCCCCAAATTATTGAATCTTGGTTGTTTTATGATATTACCAGTGACTAGAAAACTGCAAGGCTAGAAGTGTGGCTCAAGCAATAGAGTGCCTGCCTAGTAAGCAGGAATCCCTGAGTTTAAACTCCAGTACCGTCTCACCTCCCTCCCCTGAAGAAAAGGATAACTACAGACATGGTTTCCTCTACTGTGAAACCCTGAATTTGACCTCCTAGTCCCCACTTATGGCCTAATGCCTGACATACAATAGGTGTCTAATTTTGTTACAAATTTCCTTCTGTCTGGAGATTAACTTAGACCTAAAAAAATAGCTTGCTTACCTTTAAAAGCTTGGGAACATACACTGATGATTATAAATACAAATATTATTTAAAAAGCTTTTTATAAAATAGAAAGTAGGTAATTTTTATTAGGAAAGGCAGTTTTAGTAAAGGAGCCTAAAATAATACCCCAATCATCATAGTGAGCTTTGATACTTTGTTTGCCATTGATGCCTTTTCTTTTGGTTAAATTCTTTTTCTTGTATTTTTAGGTTAAAACATCAGAATTTTATAGATATTCTCGACAGTTGCGCTATGAAGTTGACCAAGCATTGAATTACTTTCAGAATGTTCACCAGCAGCCCTTGTTGGACATGAAATCAAGCCGCATCCGTTCTGCCAAACCCCAGACAACAGTATTCCGAGGAATGATTGGACATAGCATGGTTAACAGTAAAATACTTCTATTAAAGAAACCAAGAGTCTGGTGGGAACTGGAGGGCCCACAAGTACCTTTACGTCCAGACTGCCTTGCTATTGTCAATAACTTTGTGTTCCTGTTAGGTGGGGAAGAGTTGGGCCCAGATGGTGAATTCCATGCTTCTTCCAAAGTGTTCAGGTATGATCCAAGACAAAATTCTTGGCTGCGAATGGCAGACATGTCTGTGCCACGTTCAGAATTTGCAGTTGGTGTTATTGGGAAGTTCATTTATGCTGTAGCAGGTAGAACCAGAGATGAGACTTTCTATTCAACAGAGAGATATGACATCACCAATGATAAGTGGGAATTTGTGGATCCTTATCCAGTTAACAAATATGGACATGAGGGGACAGTACTAAATAACAAGTTGTTTATCACAGGTGGAATCACCTCATCTTCCACCTCTAAACAAGTGTGTGTGTTTGACCCCAGTAAAGAAGGGACCATAGAACAGCGGACCAGGAGAACTCAAGTAGTTACCAACTGCTGGGAGAACAAGAGCAAGATGAATTACGCCAGATGCTTTCACAAGATGATTTCTTACAATGGCAAGCTTTACGTCTTTGGCGGTGTCTGTGTGATCTTGAGGGCCTCTTTTGAGTCTCAGGGCTGCCCTTCCACAGAAGTGTACAACCCAGAGACTGATCAGTGGACCATCTTGGCATCCATGCCAATTGGTAGAAGTGGCCATGGTGTGACTGTTCTGGACAAACAAATAATGGTTCTCGGAGGCCTTTGTTATAATGGACATTACAGCGACTCCATTCTCACTTTTGATCCAGATGAAAACAAGTGGAAAGAAGATGAGTACCCTCGGATGCCCTGCAAGCTGGATGGATTGCAAGTATGCAACCTGCATTTTCCGGACTATGTACTGGATGAGGTCAGACGTTGCAATTAATGACATCTTTTTCCCCTAAAAAGGCAAATAAAGCATTCGTGATAAAGTAGTTAATTAAAAAGCATAAAGAAAAACCTCACCAGTTTTACTGTCAAAGCCATTAGTCTAATATCGTAAGAATTTTTCATTCTGTGCTAGCATCTTTTTTTTTTTTTTGTCTTTTCGGTGGCCTCAGACTCATGCAATAAGTTAATTCTAAGTGCTAGCTCTTGAAACTACTTCCAGAAGCAGTTTGATAGAATGCTCCACTTAACTGGTGGATGTTGATTTTCTGCTTTAAACATTTCTTTCAGATGTTAGTGTAGGAGTCATGCATCTTCTAAGAGAAGACCTGATAAGTGTCACTGGATGTGATTTCAGTCCCGTTCTGTATCTGAAACCTTTTGAACATTAATTTCAGTCTGTTATATGTTTTGGTTTTATTATTTAAAAGTTTAAAACCCAACCTTTTTGCATGGCTTTTTGCTGAAAATGCAAAATATAAATTTTCTACAAAACTAACTTTTTATATTCAGAACACTATTTCTAAGCTGCCTTCTCTTACGAATTGTGTTAGTAAAAGCATATCCATATTCGCATACATCCTATAAATATATAAGGCACATCCCTTTTATGTGTGGTTAGGTTCTATATTTTTCAGCTAGTGCACTTGCACACACGGTTCGCCATCTTTGTTGAATTTTATATGTAATGTCTTTTCATGTATTAATATTTTTAGAAAGTTAAAATAACTGGAGTCCTCATTTGGTATCAAAATAGCCTATGTCCATACTGATTCAGTAATATTCAAACTCCTTATATTCCTGAAACGTGTGGATTCATGAAAATTAACATTTTACATTTTATTTTCAAAAGTAAACATTAGTGTTCCTTATCAATATGTGTCTTTTCTTCCTGAAAATGTTTTTCTTTGTAGTCTGTTTAGTGTTGCCCTGTTTTAGTGAGAATCAGAGTGGTATCTGACAAGCTCTGACCCTGCAACGTGCAAGCACTTTTAAAGAGAAGTTAAGTAATACCAGACTCCTAAATAAAGGCCCCTTAAAAGTAAGTGCAACTCCCATTCTTTACACTCAGTAAAGCTGCTGCATCTGTTTTTTAATGGAGAGTAGCAACTCTTAGAAAATTTGAGCTCAGTTTTGACTTTGAGGTAAGAAACAATTGTAACTGGTTATATCTACTTGTTTATTTTGTACAAAATATTCAGTGGCACTAGGGTTGTCAGCTCTCAGCTTTTGTTTTATTTACTGGAAGCTACTAGCATGAAGGATAATAACCACCAAGTTCAGAATGGATCAAGAATAGTTTAGAAAAAGCATTTGTAAATTTTTTAAGATTAGCTGCACCTTTCAAATCTTTCAATACAAAGGAAGAAAATATAGTTGGCAAAATTAGTCAAGAGTAATTTGGGAGTGAATCATTCAGATTTTCTCATGAGTAGTCTATATCTGATTCAGAATAGATCTACACTGGCAAAACTTGCCAGATCTTAGGATATTGGTGCAATATTGCAATGCCTTCTATATGGCTGCTGTTGTATAAATTTTCTAGTTTCACTTTTTTTTTTTTGCTGCTGCCACCATTGAACATAAAACGGAAGTGTGAAGTTGTAGAAATGTGAACTTTGTTGTTTTTTTTTGCAGTTCAATTAGACATAATATGACATAAAACCTGATTTTAAGACTCCAAAACTGGAGGTATTTGAGTTTAGGAAACCGTTAGGTATACAAGTAACTTTTTTTTTTTCCCAGTGCTGGGGACTGAACCCAGGGCACAAGTAGCTTTTAAAGAAGAGAGACATTGGCACATTGGTTTCAGGAATCAAGTTAATAATAGTAGGGTTTTTTGTATGTGAGGCGTAAATTTTCATTAAGTGGTCCTTCACTTACGTATAATTTCTAAAAACGGAATTCAGTATCTTAGTTTCCCATGGAATGTGGGTAAAAGTCTTTTCTTATATTTTAAAAAGAATTTTAATTATTTTCCTTTTGAAATTGAGGAATTAGGTTAGCCATTTAATTTTTTTCTAATACATTAGTTCATTTAGAATCTTGTATTTGTGCTGTTTTGCTTTACAAAAAATAACGTTTTCATTATTTTCCTCATCGATGTCTTTTGCTGGAAAAGACCAAGAAAGAGCCATCGGCCAGGGTACCGGTATCAAAGGTTTTACACTCCAGTAGTGGTTCTCTTTAATTGCTTAGATATCACTTCATAACCCTATTTAGGGTAACATCTGAGCAAACAATTGAATATTCTTGGTCTTCCATTTTAAAGACTAGGCCAAGGTCAAAGTTTATGTTTCTTGAAATTTGTGAAATCTTAACTTGAACTAACTCTGGGTTCAGCTTCACATAAGTCATGTCTGACCTGATGTTAGCTGTTAATCAGTTTTGAGCTTTAAGAATAGTTGCTATTGCTTGGGTTCTGAATGTATGAGAAAACCCTTTTGTTTATGTGTATTTCTAATTTAGGTAGTAAATCCACAATTAACTTACATTCCCTTTTAAAATTATGATTTAATTGTTGCAAGAGATTTATTTTTTTTATACTAAACTGTGGAGATTTTTTTCATAGATTTTTTTCAAGTATTTTTGTGTGCTTCATTTGAAACCATTTTTGTTTATATATACATTGTGTATGCCCAAAACAGTCATTTAAAAAAATTCAGTAAGAGATTTGAAAACTATTCAGTATAACTGTTGTGATCTATGTGTTATTTTCACTTTATATTTTAAATGCCAGACTTGACAAAAATAGCTGATCTTCATTAATTGGCATCTCAGCACTGTTTGTTCTCTGCCATGTTGTTGACCTTCTAAGTTTTGATTTTTAAAGAAAATTCTTGCATAGCCTTTTCATAAAATACAAGATTCTCACCGTGAAGGTTTTGTATTGGAAGAAATGCTACTGGTTTTTAAAAAGCAATGTTTAATTAATGGAATGATTAGCTTTTCTTGAGACAGCTTTCTCTGTGTCCTCATTGCTCTGCCCTGCGTGAAATACTGACTGAGCCCTTCACTTACCTTTTCTAAAGCAGCACCTTTGGACACCTCATTCTGGGACGTCTGCTCGAGTCATAGTAAAAGACACACATTTGTGTGGGAAGTAGTGGTAAAATGGAGAGTTTTGTCTTAATTACATGAAACTAAGCTTTAAAATATTTTATAACAAATTATTTGAGCTGCATAATCTAAACATGTCAAACGTTCAGTGGGACTATTTTTATATATGTATATGTGGGTGTAGGTCATAACATTTCAGTTTATAATATAAATTGTTATTTCAGTTTATAAGCTATCTCTCAGAAGAGACTAGCTCTTTTGAGAATACATAATTTAAAGTTTTAGACTGAAGTAAAAGCATAGATAATAGTGTAAATTAGAGATAATTGAGGGCTATATGGCAGTAAAACTGCTAGTGCCAGTTTTCTTGTTTGCCTATTATTACACATTTTTGATTTTTTTGTATTCTGAACATTTTTGGAGATCATACATTTGTTCAATCACATTTAGAGTCGGTTTGGGAATAAATATCTTCTAAAAAAAGAGATTTATCTTAAAAATTAAAGTCCTAAAAATTAGTTTATTGAGAGTTTATAAAATCACATATTCAATAGGCATAGACTGGAATAGATAAATTCATGGAAATAATATTCTTTCAGTATACCAGTATAACTTCAATATTACATGAGTAACATTGAGAGAATACCATTAGCTTTGTTCCCTCTTAAAATTCTTGGATTTTTTTTTTACATCTTTGGGAACAATTGCATTAAAATTTAATTAATCAGTATATCAGTCAGGATTAGGTGTTTGCTGTCGGAAGGAGTGTTCCTAAGAGGTGATCGGAGAGGTTATTTTCTACCTAACTTGTATGTGCCCTATACCTCTTGGGCACACTTTTGTCTATAGAAAAATATTTTGACCTTTAGGTCATTTTGGGCTAGTAGTCAAATAATCCTAGGGCCGATATAAAAGTGTTAGAATAATTTAAGGTTTGCCTTTTATACCTGTTTTGGAAGCCTTTACATTTTTTGTCAGGTAATTTTTCCCAAGCCGTGGATATAATCTATTCAAACACGTTTATGCTATCCATTCTGTTTTTAAATTGAAAAAAAATGTTAAAAGTGTTTATGAAGAAAAGTTTAAATAAAATATTTTTAATCTTTAAAGTATACGTCTTCATATCTCTGATTATTTACTGTCTTAAATGTAGTCCCTCACATACAGAGTCCCTAATGATTAGCAGTATATATTTTGCTGTCTTTCATTATGCTAAAAAAATGCCATGAAATTGTAATTTCTGTCAGTGCTTTCAGCCACAGATATAAATGCTAGCATTAGAGTGAAATTATTTATACTCTTATATGCAATGGAAGTTTTATAATGAAGCCACATAATTAAAGTTCCACTAACAGGAGTTTTGCAGTTTTTCAGAATAGAAAGAATAGAGGGATTGAACTGACCAAAGTAAAGTGTATTGACAGCTGGATACATGGAGAAACCCCTTTGAACACTGACTTTGGAATTAAAAATGAAAGGACTGTAAAATAGTTACAGTGTGGGG